AGGAATAGTTCCTGTATTGCAGTTTAACATTAGGACTCAAATTTGCTCTGTTTTGGCCTCTTCCTGAATGCAGGAGGAAAGGGTGTCGGCTGGGATGAGTGCTGCATTGTGGAGTTGCATGGACCTTCAGCGTGCATGATTATAAGTTTTTTGCGTGGGGCCTGGCCGTTTTTTAGGTGGATTTCCGGCTAGTTTTCGAGTTAGCACAGTGCCAATTGCGAACTTTGACGAGAACACATGCACAGTGTAAGCGTGCGCAACAGCTAATTCTGAAGCCTTTAGCTCACACATGTACAGAGAATATCCCTGCGAAGTTTCTATCTTGTCTGGTTCACGTAATCATTTCCCGTTTTTTTCGGGGTCCGTACACGCGATCTAGGCGAGTATAGACGAAGTTTTTAAAGCATGAGGGTGACACATGGGGAGAGGATATGGCTCCAGCCTCCTAGCTTTCCTCGTTGCTGAATTGGAAGCGGGTGACAAAGTTCACTCGCGTCCGAACACACACACGGACGATCTCTCGACGACATGTGTTTTTGCTCACTAAATATATAAACATTCCTTCTTTTACAGTATTTTCAACTTATCTTCTCTACAATTCCTTGTTTAGTTTTCTGTAAAAACTTTTGCAATAATTCATCATCATTTCCCCTAATACCCCAATCTATACCCCAATCTTCAGCTGATGTGTTTTTGAGCTTCATCGACAATACTACATGAAAAGCGGAAATATGAGGAAGTGGTTGCCTTGTAGACAATTCGATACGCTGCTTCTAGTCGTTTTGCCATGTAATTTGCATTGAGAATTGCCATCTGTGAGGCTTCCTTCAGGCCAACTCCCGCCATCATCCGTATGTATGCCCATGTGATTGGAATTATACTAAAAATTGTAAACTTCATAATCAGGTTCTAAAATGAAACTAAAAAGCAAGAAAGATCGATAAATATGAAAACCACGGCTCGGATTTTCAAACCTATTAAAAATTGAAGGGACCAACGGACGAACCTGCTTGAACCATAAGGTGCTGCACTCACTGCACCACTTTTGCGCTCCTCCACTGGCACCACCGAATGTCCCGGTAAGAAAGGCGCCAAATGCATTTTACTGAAAACAAATTTTAAAACACAAATTCCGTGCAAACTGATACCTGCCTCTGTTCTAGCCCAAGCCCACTTGACTTGCAGTGGGTACCTACAAGCCCCCTAATTCGCGTGAAATTAATTAGCCTCAGCGGCCTATCAGCAAGCTCCATCCTTAGCCTGCTCCTCATGAACTTATCCTTGCTTTTCATAATAATCAAATGAATTTTGTGATCAACATATTTTAGAATTTGTCGTAAAAAAGATCTGGCTTCTTCATAATATCTACGAGAGCTTTCTTTTGAAAC